GGTAAACGCTTTACTGGCTTTAGGCGCATGTGTAGCGGACGCGCGCATCAAACGCGCATGCGCAAGTTTGTGGCTTTGAGGTCCGGATAATGGATGTCCGGATTACGGACTTAGTACTGTATAAAGAAAAAAAATTAATGAATAAGACTAGCATGCTGACAACATATGCAGAGTGAAAAATAAATTATATAACATTTCTGTCGAATGTAGTTAGTGATCTATTTTTAGTCTAATACATGTTGCTATATTTTACAATATAGTTAAAATTGGCCAATCAGAATAATATGGAAAGGTTGCATCACTTGGAACATGGAAATCATCTGAAAGTAAAACATCGTTTCTGTGTGCTCATGTGCTCATAGGGTTATATTTTCTCACTTCTTTTTCGATAGGGGAAGAATGGAAGTATTAAAATAATCCAGCAAATATGTATGTGCAGTGCTTCTTCAGTTTATATGGTTAATTTCAATTTTATCTTTGCAACAGTAAATATATAAATTTCTAATTTAAACCCTTTAACTGTCAAGTTATTTTGATGATTTGGGTACACAAATTGTCAAATTTATTTATTGCAAAAACTAAATGTTTAGTACAAAATAAAATATACTTAAGTAGTTAAAAATTGATATTTTGACGTACATGGGTAAAATTTTAAAGTTTTGTAGCCACTGCATATTTGCTTTGAGGCGGCTGCCACTCAACATGGCAGTTGCAAAGTTAGCTTCTAGTGGAGCATTATTTTCTAAAAATGAAAAAAATTAATTATTTTCTAAAACATAAATAAAATAATAAGTGAATACCTATTAGTAGTTCAGTAATTCAGTCTTGTGTGGTACATCTGGAAACACTTTTCCAAGCACAAACCAACTCCACAATCACTACACCAGAATCGTGATTCCTTCCTTATCTTTTCCCCATTTTTATCCTTTTTCGAACAACACACTTTGCACTGTCTTGTAGGCTCACGTTTCGCAGGAGTAAGAGGAAAATGGGATATAAAATGTCGTTCAGTAAGACAGGCAGAGTTATCTATTGTAGGTGGTCTGCCAACATTCTTTTGTTCAGAAGCTGCATCATCATATTTATGTAAAAGCTCTTCTACAACTTGGATTCGAAATTCTAAAAATGTAATACGTTTCTCAACTACATTTTTATAGAGCAAATATGAGTTCCAGAGTACCTTGTCTAGTAAATGTAAAAATATCTTTTTTATAATATTTTTTTCTGACGTTTTCGGATTGTTGGATGAAAGGATATTTCCTGATCACAGCGATCTACACCACCCATAGACTAGACCGTAATTAGAAACAATCTTCGGCTTGAGTATATCTCTCCATTTTTTTATTTTTGAGGCTGACCATGGAAGTATCATGAATACTGCTCATCAAACACACATCCTTCACCTTCGGTTGAAGAATCTAAATCATCTATATAACGTTTCAAAGAACTGGAGGCTATTTTACAACAAAAAGACCCCATGCACTTTGAACCAAATAACCTCTAACGTTTGAAATCTTCAGTAAAGTGCTGTCATCTATTGAACTGAGCGCACATTAACTTTTCCCGAGATACAGACGGGTTTGACAAAGAGATGAAGCCAAAATAAACGTCTCCCGATATATATTCGGGTATAACAATACGATGCACTCAAAAAAAAATTACCCCGAGTAATACTCGGGCGTGACATTTTCGAACACCAGTGCTGTACCCGAGATTATCTCGGGCACAGTTAAAAGGTTAATGAAATCATGAACCATCTGAGAAAACATAAAATCAGGGATGAATGTTGTATGTTTAATGTAGGGCAGACAAACAAATATTTCTTTGGTAATACAGGGAGCGAATTTGGTTGCAAACTTTCTGAGGATGACTGCAAAACAGAAGCTGTGGAGTGTTTGAAAAGGCAAAAGTAACAAACATTATTTAAAAAGTAACCAACATTTCAAACTAGTGCTACCAAAGCAAATTGCATTTTAGCCTACAACAAGCCTTTTTTGTATGACGAGTTTATTAAGCAGTGTATGGTAGAGTGTGCAGGTGTATTGTTTATGAGCAAATATGAAAGCATTTCATTGTCAAGAAGGACTATTGTCCAACACATTGACTCAATTAGTGACAAACTCGCAAAACCTGAAGCTGAAGCGAAAACTTTGGTTTTCTTTGTCAATAGATGAGAGCATAGGTAACAAAGACACTGCACAATTGCTCCTATTTATCTGTGAAATTAATAAAAGTTTCATTATCACAGAGGAATTACTTGGCCTAGAATTAATGAAAGTTTCATTATCACAGAGGAATAATTTGGCCTAGAATTAATGAAAGATTGAACCACTGGCCAGGACTTGCTTGAATGTGCTATGAATTGTGTGGAAAAAAATGCTTGTCCTGGAACAAAATGGTAAGCATTACAACAAATGGAGCTAGAGCTTTCAGTGGGAAAAATGTGGGCATGGTTAAGCTTTTAAAAAATTGAGTTGCAGGCACAACACATAAAGAGTGATATGTGTGTTTTCATTGCATTTTGCATCAAGAGAGCCTTTGTAAGGCTGCACTGGACTTAAAGCTTGTGGTAGATCCTAGTGTTAGTGGGGTGAATACAATTAGAGCAAGGGCACTCCACTGCCAACAGTTCAAATCTTCAGGGCTTAAAATCTTCAAATCTGTAGACCTTCAGGCCAAATCCTTAAGAATGTCGAGGCACAGTATGAAGATGTAATTTAACACAATAGTGTGAGGTGGTTGAACCTGTGCAAAGTGATAAAAAGAGTCTGTGGAATTATGTAAAATCACTGAAAACAAAATTAAGTCTGTTGGCAAGGCAAGCAGGAGCAATTTTTGTCATTTCCCTTTATTAGGAAAACAAAGTACCTGAAAGAGTTTCTACTAAGATTAGAGATCATTTGCAAAGTTTGAAAGATGAGGTAACAAGAAGATTTCATGGTTTAAAGAAAAATGAATCCAAATTCAATTTGCACTTTTATCCCATAACTGCTGATATTGATACAGCACCTAGGGAGCTGCAGCTTGAAATTATTTGACTTGCAGTCAAATCATAGTGTAAAGGAAATTTTTAATGCTATGACGTTAATTGACTTGTACTGGAAAATGTCCATGTATGAAGAAATTTGCTGGGAAAATGTTCTGTCTAACTGGGTCAACATATATATGTGAGCAAAGTTTTTCTTGCATGAAGAATAAAAATAGATGCAAGTTGGCTGACATTGACTTGCAGACTGTTATGAGAATTTCAGCAAGCAATCTCACTCCTGGTTTAAAAAAAAAAAAAAAAAAAAAAAAATTAGATAGGTGTGATAGGGTGCATTTGTCTCATTAAATTGATTCTAAAATTAAATGTGTTTGCAGCTATAGATGATATGAAATTAGAACAGTAAATAAATTGAATAAAACTGCCACTATTTTAATTAATTTATATTTATTGATTTTTATAATACAATTCATACTTTTTCTGGGATGCAAAGCTAACTAATGAATGTAATCATTTTAAAAAGGTGTGACCCTCCGGTATCCACACCACTTCCACAATGTGATCCTCAAGCCAAAACAATTGCCCGCCCCTGCTTTAGAGTTAGATGATTGTAAGTTGCTTTACATAGGTATTTGGTCCAATCTCTATGTAAATAGGATTGATTCGATCTCTAACTGTTAACTGTATCTGCCCGTATGTAACAAACTGTGTATGCCTTCCAGCAGTTTCAAGAAACCAAAGATACTGGAAATTTCTCAGTGGCTAGGAAAAAACTATGTACCATAACAGAGAACATTAGTTAGTTCATATTTGAGTTCAGAGTTTAGCTCAAAATATTGAGAGTATGAAGAGATTACTGTGTGAGATTACACATTGAGGCTTTTTATATTGTTTTGTGTTTAGCGTTCTTAGTAGTTTGAAATGGTAGCTAATGATTTTTCTTTGTCATAGTAAGAAAAGCTGTAAAGTACTTCTGTGAAAAGTTCCAGAATTGTAAAGTGTTTTTTGGGGGGGAGGGGAAATGAAATAAATTTTGCCAAGCTATCATCCGTTCTGCATACATTCAGTCCATTACAAACTGATATGCATGTAACAATGTTTAAAAGTTAATTTGTATTCCTCGTATTAAATTTCATTTCTAGATTTGTCATAAATGTCAACCCATGCTTGATTAAGAAAGAAGAAAAGCATGCCAAAGTAGATTTTAGTCAAGACTTAAATCTATGCAAAACACCAGATTGGTTGCTTAACCTAATTTTATGCAATGCTTGATTATTTTACCAGGTTTTCAGTCCATATTTGTGATAAGAATTTGAAACTTGCCTATGATGGAGAAACAAGCTGTTTCCTTTTTCTTGTCCCCCCCAAGAAAAAGTATTTTGCTTACTTATGCAACTTGTATGAAAAATCATGAAATGAAATTGTAGATGGCATTAGCAATTGTAGATGGCAAAGGAAATTGTAGACAGCTTTGTTGTGTGTCATAGCAAACAGAATATTAAAAATGGAACATGTTTTGAATAATTGAGATTGAGTACTTTTAGCATCTGTGAGGTTAATTTACAACTGAAGTAAGTTCAAAATGATATTAAAAGTTTTTAGCCTCCTAATTGAAGTAAGGAAAAACAGTAGCTTTTTCATTTCTACACATATGTGTTACAAATGCTGTTTTGACATTTAAATGTTGTTCATTTGTATAATTGGAAAAGGCCTTTTATATAATTTATGGTATTATTATTTCTTATTAAAACAGTTTTTTTAAATGAAATGAATTGAGTGAAAGTTATTTTTGTTTTTTCAATGTATTTGTATTTTCCCAACTGATGTACATGTTTTAACTTTTTAATTAAAGATGGCAAGGTGTGCTGCTGTCAAAGAATTTGCTGTTGCTAACATTTGAACCCTGCTTTAGGAAAAATGTCAAATTCTGTTTTGATTTCAGCATTTGTTTGTTTTTTCTTATTAAAGGTGTGTAATGTGTATTTATTTATTAATTTTTACTCTTTCTGTTTAGTTGGTGGAAGCATCCAAAGGTCCGAGAGAACTGGAAAGTGATGTGTGCAGCATTTGGATTGCTTATCATAGGAATAGGTAATAATTTTGGAAGGAGAGATAATAATTTAAATTTTAATTAAGGTTTTTAAACATTAAGTCAGCAATATAAAATTCACAAATTGAGAACATTTGTTTTAATGTAAATAACATAATAAATGGACATTATGAGATAAGCATAATAAAAAGAATGGAAGGAATACAATGTTATAATGAATGGTATTACTAATAAAGCATCCATGGGATCATATCTGTTGCAAGTAGCATAAAAAAAATACTCTTAGAATCTGAGAGCTTAGGGATTTGGGAATAAAGAAATTAATTTTGACACTGGGAATACCAAAAATATTTTGATAAGATATCAACACAGTTTTAAAAAAAAAATACTGATAATGCTATGTTGGAGCAGGTTATTACAGCCTATAACGTTCATAAGTGAAATCCTTTTGAATATATTCATAGGATGTAAAAGTTCATGACTGATGAAAGACAGCATTTACTACTGGACAAGGACTGTGTCAGTTCAGAGTGATGCAGTCTGGATTATGTAATGAGCCGGCAACATTTGAGCTCCTCATGGAGACCATACTGAGAGTTCTTTCCTACGATGCCTGTCTGATATGCCTGGATGACATCATCATCATCAAGAAAAGTTTTGAAGAGCATTTTAGAATATATTAGGAAGATGCTTCAGAAGTTAAAGGAAATCAATCTAAAGTTCATTCCTGCCAAATCTAAATTGTTCAGACAGGAAGTAACTTACCTTGGACATATAATTCTTGCCAAAACTGTGTGTGCGGATTGCAGATCCAGAAAATGTCCTGTTAAAAGATTAGAGATACTCCAAAAATATCCATCAATTGAGAAGTTTCTTTGGGCTTTGCAACTACTATAGGAAATTTATGAAAGACTTTTTTCCATCAATCCCGATGTATCCAGTGCTAGACAAACCATTTATTCTTGATACAGATGCGAGCGTTGGAGAGTGTTGGTGCTGTTTTGTCACAAGAAATAAATGGTCAAGAACATGTCATAGCACACTGGAGCAAGTGTCTATGTAAACTAGTGAGGATTTGCTCTGTTACCAGGAAAGAATTGCTCGCAGTAGCAGTAGAACTGTAGAACTTTACTGTAGAACCTTTCTACTGTTACTTCTACAGCAGAAAATTTCTACTCCCCATAGATCATGCATCATTGACCTAAGTCTTAAATTTCAAGAATCCTGAGGCCCAAGTAGCCAACCCATCCATCACAGGAAAAGATCATCACATGGAATATCAAAACCCTGTCTACAAGACCCTGCCCAGAAAGCTGCCAATATTGTTCCAGGATCGAAGCAAAATATGAGCTGGTTAATCCAGTCACACAATCAAATCACAACTTCAACATTGTCTGACACATACCCATGGAGTGACAAAAACGTCAAGAAAGACCTGCTGGAAGATGGTGGCATTAAACCGATAATTGACCTAATGGAGTCTTCAAATAAGAAACCGACCCGGCAGAACATATCAATTTATAATCATATGACAAAACAATATTGGGCTGTCTGGGACACATTCCACATTTGAAATGATGTGTTGTACTAGAAGTTTGAATCGGATGATGGAAAAGGCATCTCGTACTTCAAGGATCCTAGATGTCCTTGAAGAACTACACAGCTGTCTGACAGGAGTCCACTTCAGAATAATAAAGACTTTGTATAAAGTTTGAGAGCTTTTCTACTGGAGTAAAGCAAGGGCTGATGTGCAAAAGTTGTGCCAATCTTGTGATGCCCCTGAGGGCCAGAAAGAACCGAAGAAATACAGTTGAGGGAAGCTGCAAAAATACAGTATGGAAGTGCTGTTTGAATGCACAATGTTTGACATCCTGGGACTTGTGCCACAATCTGCTGATGGCAATAAATACATCCTCATTTTCAGTTATTACTTTACAGAGTGGCCTGAAGTCTATCCTATCTCTGATCAAGAGGCTGTCACAGTAAGAGAGGTAATGACACAGCATTGAATTTCCAGCCTTGGTGTGCCTCTGCAACTACATTCCAATCAAGGAACGAATTTTATGTTGGCTATACTTAAAGAACTCTGTCAACTATTCAACACAGACAAATCTCAAGCGACACTTATGCATCCTTAGTCAAACGGCATGATAGAGAATTTCAATTTAACCATCCTTAATAACGTCTCGCTGGTGGTTTCCAGAAACCAAGAGGTCTGGAACCAGAAGTTACCTCTGTTCTTATTGGCCTACCACAGTGCTCTCCATGAGACTGCTGGCTATCCCCATCCCAAATGCTCCTTGGCTGCTTTGCGATCTGTTGTTTTGTTGCCCTCTGGATATGCCTTCATTGGCTGAGAAGTACACCAAAGTCTCTAGTTTAAGTCACTTCTACTGTAACCATGAGAACAATCTAAGCCTTACAACCTACATGCATGTAAAACACGTTAAATTTTACTGCCTTTACAATATGATTACTTCATTTTGTCAGTTTATTAAAATTGTTGCTTATACATTATTTCTAACACTAGAAGCACCGTGTTTTCTCCCTACATAGAAGTGCTAGTGGCAGTCGAATCAACTGCTCAAATTAAATTTATGTATCAAAATGTAAATGCTTTATAATATACTCATGGACAAAAAAATTAGTAATAATAAATAGTGCACCAAGAAGGGGTCGTCAAAATGAAATGCAATTTTACATACGTAATAACTACTTTGATATAAGTAAATGATAAGAAAATCAAAGAAAAAGGATAATTTATTTCAGAGAAAAAGGCAAAAGAACGGAGAGACCCCCTCTAGTGTGAATGCATGATGCGATACGATTGGGCATTGAGTCATACAAGTTCTGTATGATGTCTTGAGACATTACGTTCCATATTTGCCTCTAATTCATTCAAACTTGTGGGATGCCCAACTCGTCGTCGGAGACAGTCTTGTGACACCCTTGCTGCATGAGGCCGAACGTTGTCTTTTTGAAAAATGGCTCCTGGGAGCCATTGCATGAGTGGTTGCAGGATTTCATGAACATACCGCTTTGTTGTCATGGTGCCACAGAACAATACTAGGGGTGACCGTGTATTGTAGGCAATGGCAGCCCATACCATCACACCAGGTGTGGGAGCGATGTGTCGCTGTACAGCGAAGGCAGGATTGAGGCATTCACCACGGGCTCTCCACACACAAACACGATTGTCATCACTACCGAGATTGAATCTGGATTCGTTGCTAAAGAGGACCTGGCTCCATTCCACAGCAGTCCAGTTTCTTCAGGCTCAACACCACTCCAAACGGAGGCGTCGATGGGTGGGCATCAAGGGCAGCACATGTAATGGGTGCCACGATACCAACTGTCCTTCAGCCAGGCACCTTTGTATGGTTTGAGAAGACACGGGTTTTTCATTGTTCACAACTGTTTCTGCTTCCATGCATTTTTTTATATGGCATAACATTTATTCATCAACAAACAATCTCCATCCTCTATCTTATGCATTAGTAGAACCTAAAGTAAAATTTTAAAAATATTATACATATACATTTTTGACAATGAATGACACATTATGTTTTTTAAAAAAATAAGTGCTTCAAAAATTATTCAAAAAATAACAAAACATAAATATTTCTTACCTGTTTCAGTGGATGTGGGATACCGCTGTTACTGATGACAAAATATTTGCTGCGGAAATTCCGATGGACTGAATTTTTTTGCCCAAGAATTGCTTGTCTGTGCTTTCTTCAGAATCACTAGATTTATTTTTCCCTAAGAATTTTGTGGAGGCTCGTAATCCATATCATCATCTGTACTATGTTCTTTAACATCTAATTCATTTTCAGATAAATTCTTTAAAAGTTACTCAGTTCCTTCTAAGATGCAGTGGTCTTCGAGCTGCCATTGCATTGAGCTTGAAAGAATGAAACACAATGAAATAATGACATGTAATGACTATAGCATTTCGCTAAAAGGGGTGGATCCTTGATGGGAAGGAAGTATTTCATGTTGTAAATAACAAGTAAATAAAAGGTGTAGGGTAGATCTTTTTCCAAGAAAAGGTGTTTGAGGGAGATATGATGAATCTACCCAGTTTTATTAGCAATCAGTATGACTGTTCATGGCACTTCTAGGTATTAGTAATAATATATTTGTTAATTTTAATTTCATTCATTACATGTTTAGAACCAATCATTTTCAAGGGCTTTTTAGGGAAATCCAAAAAAAATGTGACTTCTTAAGATAAAGGGATTTTTAGGAATCTAAGGTGAAATGGTGAAAACAGTCAAAATATCTGCTGTGGTACTTCTAGTGTTAAAATAAATTATGTTTTACTTTTAAAATATATTCCTTTTAAATTTACTAAATTTGTTTGGTGTTAAGTAGTGTATTTATTAATTTTAATTATATTTTTTTTTTTACAATATAGGTTTACTGATTACAGGCATTATTGTACTAATCATGCCAGAAATGGGTATGTATTAAGGCTTTGTTATGTAATTTGTCGGTACTCTCTGATTATCCACCAACTCTCCAAAAAGTTGACAATTCATTTCTAACACATGAAAGGTAACAGCCATTCTGAAAATGGTGACATACTAAGAAATCCATGTAAGAACAATCAGTCAGAGTTTAAAAAGCAAGAAACCATTATAAAACTCTTACCCTTTTTAAAGCATCCTTATGTAAATTTTGTTTAAAAAAGAATCAGAGAATTTCACAAACTTGGCATTTGTTACAGTGCTGTTGTTCTGCATGTGTTCACAGTGATCTGTTTTCACTTAAAACAACCAAAGCATCACACAGATTTGGCATCTTGTAAGATTTATGATGCTTTCTTTTTCATCAGTTTGCAAACTCAGCAGTCCCATTGTGATTCATTACAAATACACACACACACACACACACACCACACACACACAAAAAAAAAAAAAAAAAGGAAAAAGGGAAAAAAAAAAATGGAAAAAGGGGAGGAAATTGTACTCTCATTACAACAAAAACAAAACTGCACACACTAATCTGTGTTATCACATAAATATACTTTTGCGATGTTGTAGTTAAGTATTGCCTGGTGAATGTTTTTCAAGGGGTGGTAGCAATTTGAAAGAACCAGCTGGTCTTTATTTGTGGAGGTAGGGTTTTTTTTTTTTTTTTTTTTTTTTTTTTTTTTACATTTCTGCCTCAATTTGCAAAATATTTCCTTCAACTTTCTGTTATTCTTTACTCATAATTTTTATTAGTTCAACTTAGTATTTCATTACTTTCACCCAAAATCATAATTTTCAGCATTCAAAATCTTTTTTTCCCCCTTCTCAATAACATGTTTTTTTAAAAAAGGAAAGGTTTCATCAGTCACTACCACTATGTGAGAGAAGATGCATATGAAGCAGCATGATCCAGTTTTCTTATGAGCATCAAGCGCAGCTGCAACTTGTCTGGTGCACATCAGCCGATGAGTTTAAAGCAAGAATAATCATGCATTTCTGAATGGAATCAGTTTTATGTGCTTGTTGAAATTGTTTAAGGATTTGCGATCTTTTATGTTAATTATGTTTGTGGAAAAAGTAAAATTCTCATTCTAAAAAACATATACTGTTGACTTCCGTATATTTTTCATCAAGAAAATATAACATGTTTATGTTATGTATTGTTTGTCATAGTGATGTTTCAGTTTGGATGGTGTAAAAGAAGACAAAATTAAAAAATCTGATGTGTACACCACATGACTTCCTTGTACGGAATATTAAATTATACGCATTTTTTTCTTGCATTTCACTTAAACTTATTAGATTAAATTAAACCTACTTCGCCGACACCGCATAAACCACAATAGAATAAATGCATTCTTTAAAATTCATCTTGTTTACCATAGCGACACTCTGGCGCTAGGTTCACTTAACAGTATTATATTTCATTCATATTATAACTCAGAATGCACAAAATTTATATCATTTAAAGAATTATCTAATCGTTGCCACATGCTCTATTCAAATACTATAATAAAGCTAGAACGATGTATAAAAGAAATTAAGCAAACAAAACAAAAAAGAAACAGTTTTTCACAGACGATTGAGTATTTCTCATTCAATTAATTCAGTTCTCACTTTGCGACAAGGCAAAAATACATAAAAACTCAAAATATCTGTATTAAAAATTACGAAGTAAATCTTAAACACTTATTTCCTTGAAAAAATTGCAGAAAGGATTAAGCATGATTTAAATAATAAATGAAGGCGTTATCTTTGTTGTTGCAAAGCTAAGTTTCTCTACATTGGCAACAAATCCGCTACTCAGCTGTTTCAAATGTAAACAAGAGCAATGGCCACCATCAAATTAGGCTTAGCGGCACTTAAACAATTTTAAAATTGTTGATAATTCTAAAAATATTGCATACAGATTTACTAAAGGCATAAAACCCTTAACCGGAAGATAAAAGCAACATAATTCAATCATTTTTAAAGCAAAAAATGTACAATTTACAAACATATAAGAGTAAAGAAACTGAGATCACTGAGCCGGGTAACAGAGTGGATATATATATAAATATATTTATATATATGTTTGGTGCGGCCGATTGCAACCAAAATACGAGGTGCACATCTACATGTTATGTCAGTCCTATATACAAAATTTCAACGTTCTGAGGCTACTCGTTTTTGAGTTATGCGAATAGTACATACGTACATACGTTTCGTACAGACGCCACGGAAAATTCTCTTCAGAATTAATTTTAAAGCAGTTTTATAATTTTTTTTTGGAGGAAAAGAGTGTTTTATTCTGTCCTAACGTACATATATCACGGAAATACATCCTTAAATTGCATTTGAAAGAGGTCAAAATGGGATATTTTCGTTGAAATATGCTGCCTGAACCTTTTCGCGATTACAATACTTCCTTTTTACTTCGTACAAGAAAGTAAAAATTATATGCATATACAAAAATATTACAATAACATTAATTATATTGAGAAAAAAACCAAAAATTCAGTTTTTGTGGAAACCAAGGAGCTATTAATGCAGAATGTCTGTTCTCTACCTTTTATGTTGAGCACAGTCTGCCACTGAATGCCTTGACCATGCTGCAGTTTTATTTAGGAAAATCTTCCCTAAAAGTGAAATTGCTAAGCTCAAGAGCAAAAATGATTGCAGCTGTTAAAGAAAGAGTGTTAAAAACTTCAATTGTTGATTCCATAAAAACAGATGTTTTCTACCTTTCTACAGATAGAAGAAATAATACTGATACAAAAGTGTGTCTATTTGTTGCTATTTTTTTAACCTTTTTTAAGAAAACTCAAAAGTTCTTATCGCATTTTTAATTTAGAAGTTAAAAAAGGGTAATGTTTCTTTTCCAATTATTATAAATGTATTCATTAATTATGTTTATTAATATCTTGAAAAGGATTGCTTGCCATGTATAATGACTGATCTAATCATTTTGGCAAAAATTTACCAGCCATAATTCAAATTCAGAATGAAAACCCTGTTTTAAATATATATAAAATCATTTTCTGTGTAGTATGGTAATTTACAAAAAAAAAAAAAAAAAAAAGTTATTAATCATTTCAACAGCTTTTGAAAGGTTGTGCTTGAATTAGATGAGAAAAGGGAAATACATAAAATTACCCTTTCTGTGGATTGCTGCGTTATTCGTTTAAATTTTTACTCTAAAAAAGTGTAATACTTTGCCTCTAACTTTATCAGCTATTAGCTTTAGATATTGAAAAGCTTTTAACCCTTAATTCTAAGTATCTATGATATACAGTCAAAAAGTCGTTAATTCGGACACCCATGATCCGGAATGATCTATAATCCGGACCTTAAAGCTACAAACTTTCTGCGCATGTGTCGTGTTGACGCATGCGCATAGGCGTTTACGCGTGCGCGTAAGACCTTTACGGCTGTGAATTTGCGTGTGCACAAGCGCATAATATGTTTACGCATGCGCGTTTAATGTATAACGGACGGTATAAGGTAAGCTAAAATTATCTAATTCAGTTAATGTTGCAGATTGCGTTGTTCCTTAATCTTCGAATTGGATCCGGCTTATTATTTTTTGCAGACTGTTAGAGCAATTTTATAAAAGTAAGCTTGAACTTTCGATTATGTCAAATAGAATTTCTGATATATATTTACTAATATGTAAGGATTTACAAAGCGAAAGTATGTTTTGAAATCCGAAATTTGTTTATCAATTTCACGCTGCTCTGCGGCAGCGGGGGGGGAGGGACGCCGTGGCGCGCAATGAATTGGAAGTTGATCTGTCAGCACTATCCTTATCTTCAGGGCAGATGTTTTTATTTTATTTGGCTTATAATTCCTTGCTAAATGTAGTGTTTCATCTCGATGTACTCCATCTTTGATATGATTTAAATCAAGTTCTTCATCATTATAATTCGCTCCGATAGTGAAGAAAGTGACACAGAGGTTATTGAAAACGAAAACATTTCGATTGACAAATTAGTCGGTATTCTCGGCGCAACAATTATAAGACTTGAACAGCGGAACTTTGTAACTAAACAAGAAATTATGACTGTTTAATAGAATTAAAGAGAAAGTATTGTCACATGAAATGAAGCAACTTAAACAACTTACATTGAAAGAAAGGTTTAATAAAGTAAACAAACAAATATTAAGCATTTTCTTTTTGTAAATTTTGATACCCTTTAGATCATAATTGTTCTTTATTTCATAAATTACGGTTTCATATTTTTAATTTTTGTAATTTCTGCATGCCATCTTACCAGATTTAAACTGATGATCTATAATCCAGAAAAATCGATAATTCGGAATCGCCGAAGTCCCGACGAGTCCGGATTAACGACTTTTGACTGTAATTGGAGACATAGATCTGAGAAATTAAATTTTTTTCCCTTCTGAATAAAAATATTAATATTAAAAAAACATCTGTATACTGAAGTCTTTTGCAAAGGATAAACATTACAATACCACCACCATTAGTTAATTTCAAAGGACTGTTTTGTAGCTATCACAATGCTTTGAAATTTGTAAAGATAAAGTATTTTGCTTGACAAGTTATACATCATAACTTGCATATGGTATCTTGTAGTTCATTAGATAACCATGTATGCAATAGAAATTAATTAATAGCAGAATTTGTTTTGAAAACTGCAAGAATTTTTTATTCTCTTCTAAATCAAGAAATTGTGGTGACTTTATGTTGTCAGATTATTGGCAGATAGCTATGGATTGTGATAGAAGCTGTTTTGGTGAACAAATCTGTTTTTTGAATCCTGGCAGATACCTGAGTTACAGTCTACTTATACAAAATGCAACAGACCTTGTGTCTGGACCTAATATATTGTTATGTAATGATGCTGAAAATTTTTAAAAATGGAATGTTACTTATACTTTTAAGATTACAAAATATCTTTTTTCTCCCCTCCCAGGAGTTCAGAGTTTTGTATTTTTTATTGCTGGTGCTATTTGCTTTATACCTGGAGGTAAGCAATTATTCTTCCTTTCACCTTTTTTTTTTTTTTTTTTAAATTGCTGCTTTGGTTAGTTTTACATACTTTCTTTTAAATGTGTATTTTATAGAGCAGTCTAACAGTCTCTTATGAAAAGCTGTATTTGCACTATAGATATTCACTAGATTTGTCTAATTACTTAATTTAGTCTTTGTTTTCATTAACAGCTGTTCAGTAAAATGGTAATAGCCCATAAAGAAAATAAAAATATATATTATTTTAAGTAGGTAATCAATATGTAAAATGTTGCAAGAAATCCCAAGACCAGGTAATAATGGTCACATGGTTCAGAAGTGCAGTTAAAACAATAAAAGTGTCATTATAAAAGTATTTTAGTTATAAAATATAACTCTTTTTTTTTTTTTTTTTTTTTTACCTAATTTAATGCATTTTTTTGTATTTATTAATTGAAAAATATAGTAGTTTTATTTCTACTTGTAAACTTTATTTTCTTTTCTTCCAGCTTACCATGTGGTTTATGTGTACTGTGCTGTTAAAGGCAGGCAAGGTTATAACTTCTATAATCTTCCTCTGTTCAACTGAACACTTTAGACTACACTTTTTGTACAGGATCATTTATAGATCTGTAAGAATATGTATGAAATAATGCTAAAATTAATTCTTTATTTCTGAAGGGGGAGATATTTACTTAAAAATTTTTTTTGAATAGATCATTTTATGTTGACCATAGCACAGAAATATGCTTTTAGTTGTGGGTACCTGAATTTTAACTTAAAAACATCAGGGAGAAAAACTGTTTTGTAAAATCAGTACTGTGACTTTTCACTTTTTAAGTGCCATGGGCTGCCTTACTGTTTGCATACTTCATAAATGTGTATGTGTATGATATTGATTGTTTGCTGTTGTATGTTCCATTGTCCTATATATATATATATATATTGTTAATATTTTGCCAACAATTTAAATGTGAAAAGGCTGAGCTTCATCTTATTCCTGTTCTAATTTTATATAGAATAAAATATATTGTTATGAAGTATTTCAGTCATTTGAGAAAAGAACTTAATGATGTGAAGAAAAGTATATTTGGGTTCATGTTTTTGATAAAAGTTTTAATGCAAAACTCAAGTGCATGAAACATACCAAAGTTTTTTTCACTCCTGAAATGAAAAGACATTCTCTTGAAAGCCGGATTTGTTTGAATACTTTTGTTGAATGAAATAGCTGTAAGTTAACAATAAATTTCTCTCTCTATTTGATTTTGAGTTTTCATGAATATTTATAAAATCTAAGATAACAAGTTTATCAAACTTCATTAATCTTTTACATTTTCAAATTTTTTTAAAATTTTGTTTGTACATGATTTAATTTTCTTAATAATTGCTTGGGGTCTCATTGTATTAATTTTTTTAATTGATATTTTTCATGTGTATAGAAATGTTTGTGAATAATAACTGATTAATTGTTATTACTAAGAGTGATGTTCAAATGAATTTTGTTTATCTTGAATTAAATCCCAGAAGTTTATTTAATACATGGATTAAAATTCTGTTTGTTAATGAAAAGGTGATGAAACCTGGATTTTGTTCAGTGCAGTATTTCTTTTCATGTCTTCAGTTACAGGAAAGAACATAATCAGTTGTAAAGAGCATTTTTGAAACTCTAAGAAACTTAAAGCTCCTTTTGAAACTTTTGTAAGATTCATAAACATTTAAAACTTATTGTAAGTTTTAAAAAAATCAATCTTTGATAATCTGAATATATATTATGTAAGCATAGAAACAATGAGTTTATAACTTTGCAGGTATGCATTAACATATATGTATTTAGTTTAAATCTGTTGATCATTGTGTAACTTTGATTTTTATTTTTATCATTGCCTAATGAATGTTAACAGGAAACAAATGAAGTTCAGCCTGGGAAGCATATGTGATATTTTATAAAGGCTAATTATTTGAACAAATTCCGTAACTTTTTTCCATTGCTGCTTTTGGTAATTTGTAACTAGTGTTATATTTTATTGCATTCTTTCAGTTAGGTTCTGAGAAATTAATTTTTTTTTAACTGCTGTTTGTTCTTTGCTTCCGTGTATTGATCTGAATTTTTATCATCATTTTTCATTTTCATAGAACAATGTTTAAGTTATTTCTCATAATGTGTGAAAACCATATGTAGAACTTGGGCAGACTTAGCAAAACATTAAAATGTGTGAAGAATGAATTTTTAAGTAGCTCGTTTTAGGGAAATTATTCACTTTTATTCTTTTCCATTCATGTCTTTTTCTGTGCTGTTGATACCAAAGAAAGTTAAACGTTTGTTTTATTAAATTTATGTGATTTTATTTTTAAATTTAAATAGGCAGCTATTTCAATAAAATGTGAGGAATTTTATTTTGTTGACATGATTGTATTAATTGTGGCAAAAAGTTTCAGCTGGTATGATATTGTAAAATATCCAAAATGCTTCAAAACCAAGAGAATTTTTAAAAATAAATAATGAAACAAAAATCCATAATGCGTTACGGTTCCATTTTAACCAATTAAATTGCATTCTACAATTAATATTGAATACTAATACAAAATGGTAGATTTTAAGAAAATTTGAATTTTTAAGTGTAAGTAGTTTAGTACAAACTGTAAAATAAGAAATTATTATTATTTTTTTTTTATATGATACATGCCAGTATAACAATAAAATTTTCTATTTGTTGACTTGTTCAGGAGAGGAGACTTCCTTACATAAGGCTTTTTTTTTTTTTTTTTTTTTTTTTTTTTTTTTTTAATTTTAGAATAAATAAGAGCATGAAATTTATTCATATTCATATAACATTTTTATGGCTTTATCTTTAAAAAGTAAAATCTTCAAGTGCGTAGTTTAATTTTTTTAATTTTGTGTTAGTGTATACTAAGTAAAAAAAACTGAAAATGTTTGTTGCATTATTTCAGACAGTAAATATTCTGTGCATAGTTGTTTCATTAAATGATGTATTTTGTTTCTGTATATAATAAATATGTTGTTTTAAGTCTTTTATTCATGCTTAACCAAATGTGTGATATTTATATTTATTAAAATTGTGCAATAGAAAATTTTGATGGTGATATTCAGATCTTGAGTGTCTGCATGAAGTTTCCTTCCCAGCTCAGTTGTGGGTTTTCTACTTGCAGATTTCATCTGTGTTATTTAATGAAAATTGCCTTCAATTTTTTTTTTTTTTTCCTTTTGCTTGTGTTTGATATATCTGATAGTCACTGTAACAAAATTAATTTCAAAATAAAATGAAATAGTTGGCTAAACTTAATGGAAATAAGATTTTATGTATATGTTTGTGCATGTGTGGACACATGCACAAACATGCACATGTATATTTTTTAAAAAAATCTGTCATTAAAATTTTTTGGTCATGAATGATTGAAGATCTTTCATTTGGTTTATTAATCTTTGATGAGAATTCTAGTTCAGAAATTTGCAACTAATTTAGTGCAGGCATGACATGATTAATATTGTAATTTTGGAATGACACAGGAACTTGCTTGTTTTTTATTATTTCTGTGTAAAAAGAGATATTTGTTTATAAGTACTATGTAACTATTTCATTATATATATATATATTTAAAAATATAAATAAGTTATTGAACAGTGTTTCATTACATTTTGATGTGCAATTTCACTCTCTCTTTCTGTTTTATAAACCACTTATTGCATTCTACAAGTTAACTCCGATAAACTGAATTAAGTTATTTCCATGCACCTGAGTAAATATTTTCAAGATTTTTTTTTTTTTTTAAGACATGAATACTACAGAATATATCCGCTACAGTTTTGAGTTAAAATAAAAAATGAGATTAAAAGAAGTTGAGTTAAAATAAAGAATTGAAAAATTAGCTGGGAAAAGGCCTTTTTCTGAATTTTTATTTTTGCATTGAGGGGTTAAAAACTATCACATACATTTTCAGTCAAACACTGAACTAGCCAGATATGTCTGTTAACTTTTAAAGAATCCGTTACTATTAGAATTTGAATCCAAGTATCACAATTTGTTTTTTAAATTGTAAGTGCTTATAAATTTTATAGCTTTTTTTTAATTGGTTTGTCTTGCCTTTTTGTTCTTAAAAATAGTAACTGCTTATAATAAATCGTTTTAAATGCATCATATCAAAATTAATTACTGCCAAATGATTCCTATATAATGTTAATGACACAGACCCTTACATAACCATTCAATCAATAATAATTTCCAGTTTGGGAACCAAAACCTAAAATCATCATATGGGAACATATTTGACCTAATACTGTTCTAAAGCAAGCATTTTTTCTTGAACAGGTTGTATTCTTTCTCTTGCTTCACTGCTGCTAACTTGTTAACAGCTGCTTCTCCATCCTTAAATATCCTTAAAAAATCTAAAAAGTGCTGATGTAGTTTTTCATGAATGGGTGTGCGTATTACACTTTTTCTGAATAAAAGAAATGTTAAGCTGGCCTCCATGCCTGCTTTCTCCCCTTTTGGGGGTGGGCATCAGCATTCAGTTATCACTGACCATGACTGCAAGTATCTTCATCTTTTCTTCAAAATTATTATTTCTAAGTTATTACTTACATATTATTATCATCATATCTAATTGAAGATGTCAGTGATTTCATTTATTTTGTCAGGTTATTTATTTAATTAGTTTCAGTTAAACTTCTAGCCTACATTCTAAAATATTAATTTAACTTGTTAATCCATTTAGTCATGCAATTTATTCAATATTTCTTTGAATACTGTTTACTTGATATTTAAAGCTACAAGAAAAATAGTAATAAATTTATAGTTTAATATATTTTAACATCAAAGGCTATATGCCGATGTGTTGAATCATTAATAATATGTGATATGATGACATTCCTAAGGTAGAACAATAATGCAAGTTAATTTGTGTAATATTTGAAATTTAGGGAACAAAAATGAAGTTTAATGCAGATTTATTTATTTTATAAAATGAAGGGAGAAGCTATTAATATATTATTAATTTGCTGAAAAAAAAGTTTTCATTTCAGTGCAAATAACACTAAAAACAGTGTTTTATACCTAACTTCTGAATATGTGTAGCTTCAGAATTAGCTGAAAGTAATTTATATATATATATGCATGTTTAGAAATAACTACAAGTGTAATTTTAGTTTTGGGGGGCTGGAAGGGGTTTTACATGTGCACAGTGTTTTAAAATAAGATTGTAATAAATTGGTGTATTGAGATTTTATTTAATATGGGTATAACATATTTTGTAAATTATTATTTTCATGATTTGAGGTTATATAATTCTTTTTCATAATAAAGTTTCCATTTATCCAATGGAAAGGGATTAGTTTTCAATTATTTTTCATTTTACATATCTGGATATTACTAACACTTTTATCATCTTATCATAATTAATTTAAATTAGCATTAATGAAAATAGTAGAAATGGAGAGAGAGAGTATAAAAAAAGAAGAAGAAGAAATATAGAATAAATAGGGATTCATTTTTTGAGATTCTTTATTTCTCATTGTTTTAGTTATCTTTTGTTACCTCCATGTATATGTTATGCGTAAAACTGTTGTCCTTCTGGGTTTCATTTGTAAATACATTATTATTTTAGAGTCTTATGAAAGTCAATAGTTTTGACAAACATTCTAAATACATAATAATACCCTCCCCCCCCCCAGCTTTGAAAAATTGTTCAATATTTTGTCTTGCTATAGTACTCTTTTTATTATTATTATTATTATTATTTTGATGTTTTCTGAAGAAAGTTTCTTGTAATGATTCTAACGGGTAACTGATTCATAAATAAAAGTGTAAATATAGAGTATGCTCTACAAGGCTAAAAATGCCATTACGTTTAGAATGTGGAATTGTCACAGTCAAAATGAGTCTGCAGGTTTTCTTTTATTACTTTTTTATGATCTTTTATTATTATATATTGCATAATAATGCATTGTTGTGGGAATATGATATAAAAAGCAATTTTAATCCATTGTGAACAGTCTTTAATGAATTTTGACAGCATTATTTTTATTTGAGTTCAGCTATTATAATTCAATATTTCTGATGAAGTCATATAAATCCTGTCTGTGCTATTCCCCCTTCCTCTTGCATTCAAAATGATGATCTATCAAAGTAAAAATTTCAGATTTAGAAAGAGATTTTTCTTTTTTTTATGTTAGAAACATCTATGAAAAGATAGATATTGACAGTATATGTATTCTTAAATATGGCAACATTATGTTATTCCTTTAAAAATTAATTAGTTTCATATTTATAGATTTGTTTTTATTGAAACATATCATACTTAATTCTGTAGCTTATGTACTTAGATTTAAATAGTTTATATGTAATATTAAATACCTGTTTGTAATAGTTATTTGTATTAGTTTAAAATACCTAAAATTGGTTGTACTATAAAAGTTTATAGATATTTTTGTGCATATATGTAATATAAAATACTTATTTTGTATTAATTATTTATATTAGTTAAAATATTAAAACTGTTTGTGCTATAAAAATTTGTGACTATTCTTTTTTAATAACAGCTTTAAAAATTAATTTCTGTAGTGTTAACAGGATATACTCAAAATTGCTCTCATGAAATCATCCGTTGATGAAATATAGCACTATTTGATTGATCTGTTGATTTTTGTTTTTATTACACATTTTCATTTACTACATGTAAAAAAGAGGGGAAAAACTTTCTTTTTTTAACTTACAAGTAAAAAAAGTGAGCATGGAATGCTATAGTGAATATTTTATAATCATTTAAAAAAAAGTTTTTTTGAAGTGTAGTTTTCTGTGTACTTTTCATTTCCTCCGTAACTCATATTTATTTCATTCATTTTTTTATCTTAAAACTATGAGTTATAATTTTAGTTCTTGTTTTGGAAGAAAATTTCATTTTTTTTTTATTTTATTTATTTTTACTATACCCTCATTAACAGCTTTTCAACTGTCTGGTAATTTATACTGTAGACTTAATTTCTTTCTCTTTCATAATTTTCTTCTACTGTTGTTTCCATTACTACCTGTTATGCCTACTGTATCTTAGATTACTTATATAAAGAGAAATCTGTATGCTCTTGATAAACTGTTTATTTATCACTTGCAGACATATGCACTCTTTAATTTTCTCCTAACTGTTCTTTTTAATAAATATTGTGCCCTAATAATCCGAATATAATAAATGTTAAAATGTAATTATTGATTATATTCTTATATTTTTTTATTTAAATACATGGTATAAAAATATAAAAAAAGCTGTTTATATGCAATAATTTTCTCTTTTAATGTATTATAAATAAGCATGTAAGTATAGAGAGAGTAGGCAATGACAACTAAAGATTTACTGTATTTACTAGCATATTTTTCCTAGTGTGAAAGGTTGAAAATTTAAGTATTCACTTAATTTTCAACTTTTTCGAGGCGTTCAGAAAGTGTGCTCTCCTAAATTTTGAAAGGAATTCGTCCAGTTAGTGAATTGTTTTTATCTTATCGATTTATTTGCTCTTGGATTTTGGATGAATGGACTCTGATTAATGAAGCAGTAATAGTGAAGAGCTTCAAGAAAAGGGGAATATATAATGTTTTTGTGTTAAAAAACAGATTGAACAGTGACTATGGCAACGACCTACAAACTTCAGCCATACGGCACAGGCAGCAGTTCCAGCAACATTAAATGATTTGAGGCCTAGGGAGTAGCAGTGGACAACAATCTGAGAGCAGGTGAAAGTAAGGATATAGAGAAGTAGAAATGA